AGATCCTAATCGTCACCTCAATATACTAGGAACCTATTTCCTCAAACTCTCAAGACTTTCTATAATCGTCGATCCATAAATCGAATAACTTCAAAATCGCCTTGGAACTATTTGATCCTATCGGACACCTCTCTCGTTCACTGCTACTAAGCTCACCAAAGCTCGTCGCTATCAGGAATTCACCTCGTCCATCTTCACTTGAGACTCGGAATTTATAGTGTGAGGTGACGTCACAATTCTGAATGAGATCACTCTCCTCATTTACATACTTAACGCTAACAATAAACTTTTTTCATTTCTCTGGCAGCCTATTTACGACAATTACTCGTTAACCTTTTACATTATTCTTTTTCACAATTTTCGGGACGTTTTTATTCTTTAAGGTTTAGCGAGTCCCTAATTCGTGCTTGTGGGGTCTCCCCCCCTTTTCTCGGTGCGGACTTACTTGTTTCCGCTCGGGAAGCGCAAGTGTGCGCGAGTTTTTCTACGGCGCTTTTCTTTCGTCGGTGAGTTGGTTTTTCTTCTATTTTTAAGTTACTAAGGTGAATGGTGAGGAAACCTTCATCCTAACAAAACATAAGCCCTAAACAAAATAGAATAATAAGCAAAATAAAAGTAAATAAAAATAACGCTCGGACTTTGGTTCCTTACAATGTTACATAAATTACAAAATAAATTATTCACAAATAGTAAGGAACTTTTCTACAGACAATTATTTACCAAACCCACCATACAATCACAGCAAAATGGCATGTCAATTAAACTGACTCAGACGGTTGGTCTGTTCTTTGGTTCAGTTCAATCACACAAAAATGAAGTAAGTTGGACCAAAAGAGGAAGAAGAAAATGTGCACAATACAAAGGATACACAGTTGGAAAACATCTGATAAAGACAACGTTCATATTTTGATATAAAAATTTTGATATAAATATTTTCTTTTACATTCCTGCACCAGGAACTATCAATGCATTTCTAAATGCATCTTTCCAAATTTTGGGATGTATTTTTATGGGATTTGATTTGCATAATTTCCCATTTATATGTACACTCCAGAAATGCAACTAATGTGTAAATAACAATCATACAGTATACTAATACAGATTATAAACAATCTTGTTAATAGAATTAAGATATGATAAATCTGATGTAAATATTTTTCCAAATAGTCATAAATTTTAGTAGATTTTATGGAATATGTTCTTAATTTTAAGGTATCAATATTGAAATAAAGATTGATTAAATATTTTTTATATAAGATTAAATAATTAAAATATGTGGATTGACTTTATGTATTATTTATAGCTGAAAGAAGTTCTTCTGGATTATTAGAATTTGAAAATTTATCTGATTCTTTGGAAGCCCTAGTGATGTGTAATCACACACCAATTTCAAATCAAGGTAAATTACATTTATTTATAATTATTAACATGTCTAATAATGATAATAGCAATAAGTTTACAAGAGTAGTTCTCATACTTTTTAAAGAGGGGGTTCTTTTAACTTTGTAAACAACTTGTTTCTTTATATTTTTGTAAAAGCATATTTATGTATAGTTTTCTTAGAATGTATGTTGTTCTAATAAAACTCTAATTTTTTTGATAGCGCACAATTATATTTTTAATAGAAGTAAAATAGAACAGAGATACTGGTACATTTTGTTAAAAGCAATCAAATTTTGATGCTGTTACAAGTACATTTTAATCATAACCATGATAACTTTTATTTATGCCCCACTAGGGAGGCATGCTGCACAATTTGAAAATCTCACTGGATTACAAATTTAAAAGTTACATAGCATATAAGTTTCTTATTTAAATAGATGATAGTTTTAAAATAATTTCATTAATATAATATAATTGTCATATACACTGTACATGTTATTGTTGTTTATTAAAATTTAATGATCTAGTTTAATAACCAGAAAAATAATTATTTAGTTTTATTATCTTAAAGCTAATTAATTTTTACTTTGTTTTTCCAAAATATTCTAAATTTAATCAGCTCAGAGCAGATCAACTTGAACCCATAATTCTTGCTTATTGCACAGATGCATTGCCAGTTATGTTACCCAGACCTTTGCCATTCTTTGCTTCCAGAGCTATTAATTAATTAATTTAAATATAACCATACTAGTCACTTACCGCATTATAGCATTCACAGCCCACTATGACTTTTAGCTGACTTATTAAATTTATCATGAGATGGCAATTAATCAACTATCTCTAGCTAAATTGCTTTGTATGTAATTACTAATTTTCCTTAATATAGCCTGATAAATAATCTGGCAGAATGTCTGATAATTTGTGTATTGGAATAGTAGTAGTGTATATACAGGGTGGTCCATTTATAATGTCAATTGCAAATATCTCTTGAAATATATATTAAGGGGGAAGGGAGTGGATTAATTTCTATATGGATCAAAAAGCCCTCCAAAATAATAAACTTTCATATAAGACAGTTTTTCAATTTACAAATATCTCTGAAATATATATTTATGCAATATGACCGATATCTGGCAAATGTCAACATTCACACAGTTGTTTCGTGTATATATGAAATGTTTGCTAAATATCATTATTTCTCACTTACACTGGCAAATGTCAACATTAAGCATGCACTGATGGTGAATGTTGAATAAAAATGTTTTTATTATGTTAAGACAAAAATGCAACTTTTTAATGTATAAAAATAGGAGAAAGCTTGAGTAACAGCACATGTAAATAAACTGTTGAACCTAAAACAAACAGTACATTCTAAATCATTAAAGAAAATAATTTATGTGCAAGTTTATTGTATTATGTGATTAATGTTATACAATCTTATTTTTTGCAATAACTTAAACTGTTATGGCACTTTGAATTGCACAAGAGTCCTTTGCTTTTACAATTGGATTTAAGCGTGTAACACTTCTTTTTGTAATGNATGATGGAAAATTTAGTGATATATTTGAGTGTTTACGGTAACTGATGCACATCTGTCTAGAAACTGGTCTTCCCCTGAAACTTTCAAGGGAATAAATAACACGCCAAGAGTGACAAACAGCTGTTTTCAAGGGCATTTAGTTCTGTATGCCGAATTGCGGTTTGTATCACGTGATCCATTGCAATTTTTCTGTTATGTGAATGATAATTCATTTCTAAATACCGTAAACTGCATTGTAAAAGTACAGTGTTGTAAGAAAATTACCGCATTTTTCCAACCGTGTTGGGCGAAAACACGTTGTAAGGGTACCGCATTGTAGGAGGCCTACCTGTATATGTTTCCATTACTGTTTGTTATGGAAACTAAGTCCTGTTTTTTATAACAAGGAGTAATAGGAAGATAATATTATACTTAAATTATTTTTTTTTTTATTAAGTATTTTCTGTAACAAAGATAATATTTACTTATTTCATTTACTTTCTGTAAATTTTTTAAAAATCGAGAATATATGAATCCTTTGTGACAAACTTTGAATTAGAGAACTAGTATTTCAAATGTTAGAATAAAAAAAAAATAAGAAATTATATAAATTTATCTCCAGTTAGCAAATTAAACTTTTTTTTTCAATTCTGTATCTGATTCCAGGATTATCTGAACTAAACCTTGATTTACATTATCCCTACATTTAAATATAAATATATATGTATAGCTTTATTAGATACATTATATTATCTGTATTATTTATGGACACTTATAAATAACAAACATACTCACTCCTATGGATGAGAGAAAGATGCTTGTGATACATTCACAGAATAATACCAGCTTGGATCTGATTTAACAAGATTGCATTCATGGGTTCGGAGAGGCTCATGTTTGAAAATTCTGCCACCAGTAGCAAATGCAGCACTGATCCAAATATGTGTACGTAAAAAAACAAAAACACATTCATTATCTAACCCACACAATGGACAACACACACCAACCCAGACAAAGTACTTCAGAATCAATTCAGTCACTGATCACCAAGAATGAAAAATCACACCAACACATGAATGGACTCAAGAATGCACATTCATCTATATCTACTATACCATTACAAAACTTGAAACAGATATGACAATATACAGACACAATTGACAAGACAAATTTACACAAAAATACCCACATTTCACTACTACACAGCAAAGGGTTAAAAATATGCTCTCCACTTCAAATTAGTGGTGGTTCGACCCTATATGTCATACTTTCCTTTTAACAATAGAGTCATGCTGGTCATCTATCTAACACCTTTCATAAGTTTTTGAATTGAAATAACATGACTTACAGTTTGCATTTGAAATTCATATATAGTTAATTGGGGCCTCCTGCCCCTATGCTTTTTATATCAGGTCTCAACATTCATCTATCTAACTCTGTTCTTGAGATTAAAGAAAGACAGACAGATAACAGTCAGAATTTAAACGTCTACAATTTTTTAAAATTTCAGCACAATCACTGACAGACAAATCTAAAGCTGTTTGGCAAGAAAACTTGAAACACAAATAAACAACATTAGACAACAACTATGCAGACTGACACAATATACTAAAAACAAATATAATATATTAAACCTAGTGAATGAGGTTAGGAAAATATTCAGGAAGATTAAAACAACTTACACAGTACAAACATAACATGCACATACAGAAATACTTTAACAGACAGAAAATAGCAGCTAAGTCACAGACTAGAATGATATAAAACCTGCATGTTGTAAGGAACCAAAGTCCGAGCGTTATTTTTATTTACTTTTATTTTGCTTATTATTCTATTTTGTTTGGGGCTTATGTTTTGTTAGGATGAAGGTTTCCTCACCATTCACCTTAGTAACTTAAAAATAGAAGAAAAACCAACTCACCGACGAAAGAAAAGCGCCGTAGAAAAACTCGCGCACACTTGCGCTTACCGAGCGGAAACAAGTAAGTCCGCACCGAGAAAGGGGGGGAGACCCCACAAGCACGAATTAGGGACTCGCTAAACCTTAAAGAATAAAAACGTCCCGAAAATTGTGAAAAAGAATAATGTAAAAGGTTAACGAGTAATTGTCGTAAATAGGCTGCCAGAGAAATGAAAAAAGTTTATTGTTAGCGTTAAGTATGTAAATGAGGAGAGTGATCTCATTCAGAATTGTGACGTCACCTCACACTATAAATTCCGAGTCTCAAGTGAAGATGGACGAGGTGAATTCCTGATAGCGACGAGCTTTGGTGAGCTTAGTAGCAGTGAACGAGAGAGGTGTCCGATAGGATCAAATAGTTCCAAGGCAATTTTGAAGTTATTCGATTTATGGATCGACAATTATAGAAAGTCTTGAGAGTTTGAGGAAATAGGTTCCTAGTATATTGAGGTGATGATTAGGATCTTTAATTTATAAGAAATATTGTTTATAAGTTTAAGTCTTTGATTTTTGCCGAATTCCAAAGGGGAATAGAATTAAGTTAGAAATAGATTGATTTGAGTTTTGTCGGGTTGATTCTTGTTTAATTTCATTGAATAAATTGTTGTTTGATTTTTACTAAATACTGTATATAGTTTATTACTAGAAGTTTAATTAAATATTTGATTTTTGTTATTGACAAACTTTGTCATTATTTAATTTGGTGCACGCTTAAAGTCCAGGCCTGGCACACTAACGCGAATCCGCGTAAAGTACCCGTTAGAGAACGGCTATTTCCGGCACACAGTAGTGTCGATAATTGTTGAAAAAGTCGGAAAAATAAAATAGTACTTTACAACTGCTCACGTAACGGAAGAGGCATCTGGGCAACTACACATTGTATAATTTCCTGGTCACGTGCTAACGGTCTCCACGTACGATATAGCTGTACCGTGGTCCATATAAATTGCTCGACACCATTGGTTCCTGTGTATTGTCGACTAAATAGTTCTTTAGCGACAGCTACTTTGTCAGCTAAAGGAGCATAAAGGTCCAGAAAAGATCGTTTAAATAACGGCCAACTGTTTACCGATTCGGTGGCGTCCTTCATTCTTCCACCACATTGCTGGGCTACCGCGAAGACAACTAGCGGCAGTATCTACCCATCTAGTGTTCGGTATTTGGTTCACCAGGAAATGCTGTTCTAGGTCCTGCAAAAAATCGTTAGCAGTTAATGCTGACCTACCGTTAAATTGGATGGCTGGCGGCGGCGGTGCAGTCTGAAGCCAGACCATTGATGCATTAGATGTAGGCACTTCCTGTCTCGGAGTAGAAGTTTCGGGCCGTACAGCACTTGTAACGTTCGGTGTTGTAGGCTCTACAGTTCCAGATGTGACACATGAAGTCAGATGAGTTACGGCATTTGTCAAGGATGACACTTGTTGCAACAGCACTGACAACTGCTGTTGTAACTGGTTATATTCAGCTCGGGTTTACTGGTGCACTATCATCCATTTTTTTTTTTTACGAGGTGTTATTCCTCTAAAGCTAAATTCAAAGTCAATGAAAGAAAGCAACAAAGTCTAATATTAACCTTAGAGTCCCTATTCGGGCGCCAGTTGTAAAGTACTATTTTATTTTTCCGACTTTTCCAACGATTATCGACACTACTGTGTGCCGGAA